GTTACGACTTTTACTTCCTCTAAGTAATCAAGTTCGGTCAACTTTTGCTAAACAACCGTAACACGCAAGGCGTCACAGTGATCACGTCCGGACCGTCACTAAATAATTCAATCGGTAGTAGCGACGGGCGGTGTGTACAAATGGCAGGGACGTAATCAATGCGAGTTAATGACTCACACTTACTGGGAATTCCAAGTTCATGTGAACAGTTTCAGTTCACAATCCCAAGCATGAAAGTGGTTGAGCGGTTTACCCGGACCTCTCGGTCTAGGAAATACACGTTGATACTTTCATTGTAGCGCGCGTGCAGCCCAGGACATCTAAGGGCATCACAGACCTGTTATTGCTCAATCTTATTATTGCTAGACGCAATTTGTCCATTTAAGAAGCTAGTGTCCTCATAATGGGACAAACCAACAGGTACGGCTCCACTTACATAAACATATTCAAACACAATAAACATTTTACTGCCACCATGTATGAAGGCTATATAAGCTTCAGCACCATAATCCTCAAGTTGCCAAATTTAGTCGCCTACGAATAAAGTGTTTATTCTCTGAGTGATTTTCGCTGTGAAAAAGTTAAGCTGGAATCTTTAAAAACGTACAGAAAGTTGTGCCAAGTCCTGAAGTGCGTGTGGTACACGAACGCAAGTTCATGCAACGTGTCCTTTCGCTGCAGATGGTATTTAACTTATTTGTAAAAGTGCACGTAGCTAGCAAATCAGCTGACTGGTGTCACCAGTCGTCGCCTACTCAGCTGGTGGAACAGCTGTTCCAGTGGTGTGTGTACTGGCTAAACTGAATCCGATAACCACAACCAGTTTCGACATAGGTGGCGCCTTTACCCCTATAATTAAAAATTTCTCCGCCAGAGGGCGTCAATCAGTCCCATAAAGTGGCGGTCTTTGCTCCCCCCTTCTGCGCCTGACAATTACGCACACACTCATTCACTCATTCATTTCCATGGGCAAAAGCGCTATGGAAGTTGATAATGTGGCTTTGCCCACTTCTAAGAAAAATGGTTGGCAAACGCTGGTGCCTAAGAACAATGCAGCAAGCGCAAGGTGCCACCTAGCGTAGCCTCGACTGTAAACCCCAAAGTTCCCAAGGTACTAAAACACACACAAAGAAGAAGACGTCGGCCACTGGCAGCTCCAGCTCCAGCGAATCTGACAATGAATCCGAGGAACCAGGTGAGGTACGACAGTTCACCGTGCCCCAAAAGAAAAAGACAGCTAAGCTGGCCAAAGTCAATAAGGTCAGCGATGCTGAGGAGCTGCTGTCAAACACCAACCGATTCGCTGCACTGCCTATCGAAGAGGACGTTGTTACCAAGGAACCAGCTATACCAGTGGAGGCCACTGTACCCAAGCCCCCTCCAATCATAATACCTGGGGTGCACAGCATCGTAGACATGCTAGCTGACCTTGGAGAAGTAACCGAGCCAGGTAGCTTCGCTTACAAGACTACCAGAGGAGGTAGCGTAAGAATTATGCCGAAAGAGAGCTCGACATATCGGAAAATTGTCAACCACATGGACAACCACAACATGGCCTTCAGGACTTTCCAGCTCAAGGAAAACCGAGCTTTTCGCGTGGTAATTAAGGGGCTACATTCAACAACGCCAGTTGGACTTCATCACTGAAGAACTAAAGGGGCTCGGACACATTGTTCGATACATCAAGAACGCCATCTCAAGAACCACAAATAACCCTATGGTTATGTTCTTTGTAAACTTGGAGCCTTCAAGCAACAATTAAAAGGTGTTCGAGATCAACAGGCTCTGCCACGCTGTGGTCTCCACCGAGGAGCCCAGAAAATTCAATGACCTGGTGCAGTGCTACCGCTGCCAGGCTTTCGGGCATACCAAGAGGTATTGCAGATTGCAGTACACTTGCGTAAAGTGCGGTCAGGGGCATGCATCTATCGAGTGCACTAAGGCCAAAGACGCTCCTGCTACATGCGGTAACTGCGGGGAGGCGCACATACCACCTCATACCAAGGCTGTGTATATATCGAGGCCAAGAAGAAAAAACCAGGCCTGAACGAGGCCTGAAAACCAACCAGGTAGATGTGAAGCTGGTCAGCGAGACCCACTTTACAACGAGGTCTCACTTCAAAATCCCTGGCTACGAAGTGGTCAACGCCTTGCACCCGGCGGACAGGATCAGAGGTGGAGTCACAGTAATCGTACGAAGTGGATTACTGTACGAAGAGATGGAGCCGGTGCAGCTGGATTGGATGCAATGCGCCAGGATTCAGCTGCTGACACATTCGGGAAAATCTGTATCGCGGCAGCATACTTGCCCCCGCGTTACACAATTAGCCATCCCGAGTTGTCATTGCAGCTGAAAAACTTGGGTCCCAAATTTCTTATTGGCGGAGACTTTAATGCCAAGCACACATGGTGGGGCTCCAGGATTGTCAATCCCAAGGGCAGCACTCTGCTGAGGTGCGTCAGAGAGTTGGGCTGCAATCTGCACACAACGGGAGAGCCGACATACTGGCCCAGTGACCCTAACAAAATACCGGCCCTCCTTAATCTAGCCATCAGTAGAGGTATCGACCCACTAGGCGGCAAGGATAACATGCAGATCGTATGGTCTTGTACCGACGACAGATCTTTCAAATGTCTGCCCTATCAACTTTTGATGGTAGTATTCAGGGGGGATTCACGGGGATTCAGGGTTCGATTCCGGGGTTGTTTTTTTTTTTTGTTTTTTTTTTATATTACAGTATTTTTATTTACATCTGCCCAGGAGGGCAATCAATTAAATTATGTGGTACGTTGGCGGTTATGTAGATTTCCTAGGCAATATTATATTTGTTAGCTGGGGTCGTCAGAGGATTCCTTCAGGGAACCCGGAAAGGTAGGTCAAGTGGATGGTTTCTTCGGAGTCTTCTGAGCTGTAAGCTGTTGTCAAGGAGCTGTTGTCCTGCTAGCTTTCCTGGATTCCTCGGCGACACTTTGCATTTTGAGGTTCCTTTTGATTGTTGTGTTCCTCACGTAGTAAGGACAGTTGAGGATAAATCTTAGAATGCGGCATTCTGCTCTCTGTAGTTTTTTGATATTTGTAGGGGAGGCAGTGCCCCACAGCTCAATGCCGTATGTCCAAGCCGGCTTTATGATGGCTTTGTAGAGCAGTAGTTTGTATCTAGTGGGTAGCGTGCTTCGTCTGCCCAGGAGCCATGTCATGGAGCGGCATTTGTGCCTCATGAGTTTTACTTTTTCCCCTAAGTGGTCCTTCCATGTGAGACGCTTGTCCAGGTTAGTCCCAGGTACTTGGCCTTCGCATTGGACGGTATGTTGGTGCCGTTGATGTGGACGGGTGGACAGTTGCCTGGTCTGAGTGTAAACGTGACGTAGGTGGATTTGTCAGCGTTTATGGTGATGTTCCACCTTTTCAGCCATGACTGAATCGTGTCCAGCTCGTGTTGCAGCCCTTGCGCTGCCAGAGTAGGAGTTGCGTCAGGAGCGCTGTGTCGTCCGCGTAGGTCCATGTCAATATTCTGTTGTCTTCAGATACTGGCATATCTGAGGTGAATATGTTGTACAGCACAGGACCGAGTACGCTGCCCTGGGGTACTCCGACTCTCACCACGTGTTGGGGTGATTTGGAGTTACTGCTCCTCACGTAAAACCTCCTCTCTTCGACGTATGCCTTAAGGAACATGTAGTATGGGGTCGGTAACTGTTGCTTCAGCTTGAATAGCAGGCCGAGGTGCCACACCCTGTCGAAAGCCCGCCTCACATCCAGAAAGACTGCTGCGCAATATTTCCTGTTTTCGAAGGCATCCAAGACCCTGAAGACGACCCGGTGGCACTGCTGAATGGCGCCATGTCCTTGCCTGAAACCGAACTGGTGGTAGGGGATGATCCTTTTTTCCTCCAGAATGGTCAGCAACCTCTTGAGGAACAGCTCCAGGATTTTTGACAGGATGGCGGGTAGACTGGTCAGGGCTTCTGGCTTGCCCGGCTTGTGAATGAGGATAACCTCAGCGCACTTCCACTGAGAAGGAAAGTGTCCCAGTCTTAAGCATTGATTCATCAGAGCCTTGAGCAACTCTATGCAGTTCGCTGGGAGTAGCTTGAGGGCAGATGCGTCGATTTTGTCATGGCCAGGAGATTTGGTGAGCTTCAAGCACGAGATCTCGAGCCAAGAGATCGACTGTCCTCCTGCCATAGACTGATCCTGCTTGATGTCTATCGGTATGCCGAACAGTGTGCACAGCGGCACTGCAGGTTCTTGCTGGAGCCCCACCGTTTGACTTGGCCGCTAAGAAATTAGCGGTCAAATACAAGCTGAAGCGTGGATACCCGCTGGAGGAGAACGACTGGCTCTATGGCGAGGACATTGCGCGTCTAAGCCGGGAGCAAAAAGAGATTCGCCTAGAGGAATGCTTGCTATTGGGTTGGCAAAGCAGATGGGATGACGACTTCGAACCAGGACGGGTGACGCACAGGTTCATTCCGGACGTCACCCTTGTCTATCGGGATCCAAATTTTGGTTTCTCGCTGATGGCGTCTTTCTTGCTCACTGGGCACGGGTCGTTCAACGCATTTCTGCATGGGAGAGCCCTCAGGGATACCACTGCTTGCGAGTGTGGTGATCCATACGAGGATTGGGTGCACGTGTTGTGCACCTGCCCCCTATATGCAGATTTGCGAGACCTCGATGGACTTGGAGTGCAGCGCGTTGGCGAGGACTGGATATTTGAAAGAATCCTGGAGGATCGGGAGAGAACCCAACGGCTTCGCTGAGTTGGCGTTCCGCAGAAGAAGGGGCACTTAGCCTGACGCTTCGCCGTGTGGTTAGCGGGCGAGAATACTGCCACAGCTTGCCGAAGCTTGTGGTAGGAGACGACTAATGCGGCAATAGGTCACTCCGCCCGTGCTTGTCGGCTAGGTAGATCTCGCTCCTCAGCATGGGTGAGTGCTTGGGAGACCGGGACGTTTTGTCTAGCGTATCTGGACACATGCATCATATGCTCACTTGTGGGTGTATAGTATGCCGTGGTTGTAATCCCTTCAATGTGGAACATGCCACGTAAAACAAGTTCGGAGGGATCCGATTCATACACTGTCCCTATCTACTATCTACTATTTGCCCACTTCTAAGAAAAATGGTTGGCAAACGCTGGTGCCTAAGAAGAATGCAGGCAAGCGCAAGGAGCAACCTAACGTAGGCACGACTGTAAACCCCAAAGTTCCCAAGGTACTAAAACACACATAAAGAAGAAGACGTCGGCCACTGCCAGCTCCAGCTCCAGTAAAAGTGAAATTGAATCTGACAATGAATCCGAGGAACCAGGTGAGGTACGACAGTTCACCGTGCCCCAAAAGAAAAAGATAGCTAAGCTGGCCAAAGTCAATGAGGTCAGCGATGCTGAGGAGCTGCTGTCAAAAACCAACCGATTCGCTCCACTGCCTATCGAAGAGGACGTTGTTACCATGGAACCAGCTATACCAGTGGAGGCTGCTGTACCCAAGCACCTCCAATCATAATACCTGGGGTGCACAGCATCGCAGACATGCTAGCTGACTTTGGAGAGCCAGGTGCCCGATGGTAGCTACCGAGCCAGGTAGCTTCGCTTACAAGGCTACCGGAGGAGGTAGCGTAAAAATGATGCCAAAAGACAGCTCGACATATCGGAAAATTGTTAACCACTTGGACAACCACAACATGGCCTCCAGGACTTTCCAGCTCAAGGAAAACCGAGCTTTTCGCGTGGTAATTAAGGGGCCACATTCAACAACGCCACTTCACTACATCACTGAAGAACTAAAGGGGCTCGGACACATTGTTCGAGACATCAAGAACGCCATCTCAAGAACCACAAAGAACCCTATGGTTATGTTCTTTGTAAACTTGGAGCCTTCAAGCAACAGCAAAAAGGTGTTCACAACCGAGGAGCCCAGAAAGTTCAATGACCTGGTGCAGTGCTACCGCTGCCAGGCTTTCGGGCATACCAAGAGGTACTGCAGACTGCAGTACACTTGCGTAAAGTGCGGTCAAGGGCATGCCTCTATCGAGTTCACTAAGGCCAAAGACGGTCCTGCTACATGCGGTAACTGCGGAGAGGCGCACACTGCCTCATACCAAGGCTGTGTATATATCGAGGCCAAGAAGAGGGCTTCCCCCAAGCCAAAAGCGAAGGCAATGACTCCACCGCCGAAAGAGGCCCATACACCACCAGCGACAACCAACAACGCCACATACTCTGGCTTTAGCTACGCTGACGTCACCAGGGGAGGATACCCCCAGCAACAGCAACCCAAACACATCTTCAACCAAGAAGGTTTCATTGACCGGGAGGCAGCGTTGGAGGAGAGAATAATGAGGCGCATGGAGAACATGATGGACTCAATGTTCTCCCAGTTTAAAGACATGGTGATGGCCATGTTCTCCTGCCAGAGAACCATGCCATGAACACACAAATAGCCATCTCAGCTGAAGCTGAGCAGCTGAAAAACTTGGGTCCCAAATTTCTTATTGGCGGAGACTTTAATGGCAAGCACACATGGTGGGGCTCCACGATTGTCAACCCCAAGGGCAGCACTCTGCTGAGGTGCGTCAGAGAGTTGGGCTGCAATCTGCACACAACGGGAGAGCCGACATACTGGCCCAGTGACCCTAACAAAATACCGGCCCTCCTTAAACTAGGCATCAGTAGAGGCATCGACCCGGCGAAAGTATATACAGTTGGGTGCTACGAGCTGTGCTCTGACCACAGCATGGTCAGGATACTACTTAGTATCTCCTTCCTAAGGACTCCCGGAGGCACCAACCTGATCAGGCAAAATAACGACACAACTGTGTTTAAAAGCTGGCTTGAAGAAAACGTTGACCCACATCCGGCTATCAGCACTGGAGGAGACATTGACGTTGCCGTTGCTAGCCTTACTGGCAAAATCCACTAGGCGGCAAGGTTGACAACACCCACACCTCGTACCAACAGTGGGAGACTCCAAGTGGCCCGCAGGACCAACCATCTATGGTCGACTGAACTGGCGTCGATAGTATCGGAGAAAAGGAGGCTGAGGAGAGTCTGGCAGTCTAGCAGAGCTCCGTCTGACAAGAGGGCCTACAACAAAGCCTGTAAGCACCTCAAACTGATGCTTCATAACTCGAGAAGCAAGGCGCTCGAGGAGTACCTAGTAGAACTGGAGCCTGGCAATGCTGAGCACAACATCTGGAATACCACCAAATACCTGAAAAGGCCTGTGCGGAGGGTGCCACCTGTTAAAACAGCTGCAGGTGTATGGTGCCGGTCAAGCCAAGAGAAAGCGGATGCGTTTGCCGACCATCTGGAAACCAGTTTCCAGCCATTCGCCCTATGTTATGACGAAGACGTTGAAGAGACGAAGCAGTTCGTTGACGCAGCCTGCCCGATGGACCTGCCTACCGCAGATATAGGTAGTCAGGAGATTCTGGATGAGATTTCGTGCTTGAAGCTCACCAAATCTCCTGGCCATGACAAAATCGACGCATCTGCCCTCAAGCTACTCCCATCGAACTGCATAGAGTTGCTCAAGGCTCTGATGAATCAATGCTTAAGACTGGGACACTTTCCTTCTCAGTGGAAGTGCGCTGAGGTTATCCTCATACACAAGCCGGGCAAGCCAGAAGCCGAGCTAGGCTCATACAGGCCCATAAGTCTACTCGCCATTCTGTCAAAAATCCTGGAGAAGCTGTTCCTCAAGAGGTTGCACACCATCCTGGAGGAAAAGAGGATCATCCCCGACCACCAGTTCGGTTTCAGGCAAGGAAATGGCGCCATTCAGCAGTGCCACCGGGTCGTCTTCAGGGTCTTGGATGCCTTCGAATGTGAGGCAGGCTTTCGACAGGGTGTGGCACCTCAACCTGCTATTCAAGCTGAAGCAACAGTTACCGACCCCATACTACATGTTCCTTAAGGCATACGTCGAAGAGAGGAGGTTTTACGTGAGGAGCATTAACTCCAAATCACCCCAACACTTGGTGAGAGACGGAGTACCGAAGGGCAGCGTACTCGGTCCTGCGCCTCAGATATGCCAGTATCTGAAGACAACAGAATATTGACATGCACCTACGCGGACGACACAGCGATCCTGTGCTCTGACGCAACTCCTACTGTGGCAGCGCAAGGGCTGCAACACGAGCTGGACACGATTCAGTCATAGCTGAAAAGGTGGAAAATCACCATAAACGCTGACAAATCCACCCACGTCACGTTTACACTCAGACCAGGCAACTGTGCACCCGTCCACATCAACGGCACCAACATACCGTCCAATGGACTAACCACCAGCAGGTGGCGCTTTTTGCTCCCCCTCTTCTGCGCCTGACAATTACACACACACTCATACAGAAAATGCAAAAATCTTAAAGACACGTGCTACTGCACGCAGTTCCCATGGGCAAAAACGCTATGGAAGTTGATAATGTGGCTTTGCCCACTTCTAAGAAAAATGGTTGGCAAACGCTGGTGCCGAAGAACAATGCAGCAAGCGCAAGGTGCCACCTAGCGTAGCCTCGACTGTAAACCCCAAAAGTTCCCAAGGTACTAAAACACACACAAAGAAGAAGACGTCGGCCACTGGCAGCTCCAGCTCCAGTGAATCTGACAATGAATCCGAAGAACCAGGTGAGGTACGACAGTTCACCGTTCCCCAAAAGAAAAAGACAGCTAAGCTGGCCAAAGTCAATAAGGTCAGCGATGCTGAGGAGCTGCTGTCAAACACCAACCGATTCGCTGCACTGCCTATCGAAGAGGACGTTGTTACCAAGGAACCAGCTATACCAGTGGAGGCCACTGTACCCAAGCCCCCTCCAATCATAATACCTGGGGTGCACAGCATCGTAGACATGCTAGCTGACCTTGGAGAAGTAACCGAGCCAGGTAGCTTCGCTTACAAGACTACCAGAGGAGGTAGCGTAAGAATTATGCCGAAAGACAGCTCGACATATCGGAAAATTGTCAACCACATGGACAACCACAACATGGCCTTCAGGACTTTCCAGCTCAAGGAAAACCGAGCTTTTCGCGTGGTAATTAAGGGGCTACATTCAACAACGCCAGTTGACTTCATCACTGAAGAACTAAAGGGGCTCGGACACATTGTTCGAGACATCAAGAACACCAACTCAATAACCACAAAGAACCCTATGGTTATGTTCTTTGTAAACTTGGAGCCTTCAAGCAACAATTAAAAGGTGTTCGAGATCAACAGGCTCTGCCACGCTGTGGTCTCCACCGAGGAGCCCAGAAAATTCAATGACCTGGTGCAGTGCTACCGCTGCCAGGCTTTCGGGCATACCAAGAGGTATTGCAGATTGCAGTACACTTGCGTAAAGTGCGGTCAGGGGCATGCATCTATCGAGTGCACTAAGGCCAAAGACGCTCCTGCTACATGCGGTAACTGCGGGGAGGCGCACACAGCCTCATACCAAGGCTGTGTATATATCGAGGCCAAGAAGAAAAAACCAGGCCTGAACAAGGCCTGAAAACCAACCAGGTAGATGTGAAGCTGGTCAGCGAGACCCACTTTACAACGAGGTCTCACTTCAAAATCCCTGGCTACGAGGTGGTCAACGCCTTGCACCCGGCGGACAGGATCAGAGGTGGAGCCACAGTAATCGTACGAAGTGGATTACTGTACGAAGAGATGCAGCCGGTGCAGCTGGATTGGATGCAATGCGCCAGGATTCAGCTGCTGACACATTCGGGCAAAATCTGTATCGCGGCAGCATACTTGCCCCCGCGTTACACAATTAGCCATCCCGAGTTGTCATTGCAGCTGAAAAACTTGGGTCCCAAATTTCTTATTGGCGGAGACTTTAATGCCAAGCACACATGGTGGGGCTCCAGGATTGTCAACCCCAAGGGCAGCACTCTGCTTAGGTGCGTCAGAGAGTTGGGCTGCAATCTGCACACAACGGGGGAGCCGACATACTGGCCCAGTGACCCTAACAAAATACCGGACCTCCTTGATCTAGGCATCAGTAGAGGCATCGACCCGGCGAAAGTATCTACAGTTGGGTGCTACGAGCTGTGCTCTGACCACAGCATGGTCAGGATACTACTTAGGATCTCCTTCCTAAGGACTCCCGGAGGCACCAACCTGATCAGGCGAAATACCGACACAACTGTGTTTCAAAGCTGGCTTGAAGAAAACGTTGACCCACATCCGGCTATCAGCACTGGAGGAGACATTGACGTTGCCGTTGCTAGCCTTACTGGCAAAATCCACTAGGCGGCAAGGTTGACAACACCCACACCTCGTACCAACAGTGGGAGACTCCAAGTGGCCCGCAGGACCAACCATCTATGGTCGACTGAACTGGCGTCGATAGTATCGGAGAAAAGGAGGCTGAGGAGAGTCTGGCAGTCTAGCAGAGCTCCGTCTGACAAGAGGGCCTACAACAAAGCCTGTAAGCACCTCAAACTGATGCTTCATAACTCGAGAAGCAAGGCGCTCGAGGAGTACCTAGTAGAACTGGAGCCTGGCAATGCTGAGCACAACATCTGGAATACCACCAAATACCTGAAAAGGCCTGTGCGGAGGGTGCCACCTGTTAAAACAGCTGCAGGTGTATGGTGCCGGTCAAGCCAAGAGAAAGCGGATGCGTTTGCCGACCATCTGGAAACCAGTTTCCAGCCATTCGCCCTATGTTATGACGAAGACGTTGAAGAGACGAAGCAGTTCGTTGACGCAGCCTGCCCGATGGACCTGCCTACCGCAGATATAGGTAGTCAGGAGATTCTGGATGAGATTTCGTGCTTGAAGCTCACCAAATCTCCTGGCCATGACAAAATCGACGCATCTGCCCTCAAGCTACTCCCATCGAACTGCATAGAGTTGCTCAAGGCTCTGATGAATCAATGCTTAAGACTGGGACACTTTCCTTCTCAGTGGAAGTGCGCTGAGGTTATCCTCATACACAAGCCGGGCAAGCCAGAAGCCGAGCTAGTGTAGTGTATCTACCCTCAATATGTAGAGTAGAGTTAATATGTAAGTAAAGTATATACATTGTGACACTTTGTCACATAAATTATAATAAACACAAATAATATCAAAAGACCACCAACACCTACATGAACACTCCAGCTCTTGAAATACGATCTAACGCTTACACATAAGCCGATCGCGGAGCGTGAGAACGCTGAGCATGCACTTAGCAGCTCACGTGGTCAAGCCATACATAACATATGCATGCCGTCTGCATACACATGTATATGTATAAAATATAACAAACACATAGTCTTAAGCACACCATGTACGGGTAGCTGTACCCAAGAACAGCAATATGAAATCATTCAAATAAAACGATTCAAACGGAGCAGACGCTCTGCTCTATTCAATATCACTGAGTTAAACAATTTGCAATAATTACATGGCGACCGTGACTCGGTCTCGAGTCTGTCTCTGTGTTGTGTGTGTGTGGATAAAAATTATATATACATTGTGAATTAAAATGTGCAAGTTGTTACTTGTTCTATACAAAATGAATACAGAACAACAAATGTTCTATTAAAACAAAAAAACGCACAAAAACACACTAAACACACAGACACAAGCGGCAATTGATGGCAGACGATCCACAATTGACCGAGGCGCAACCCGAGGTACTTAGGGACCAGCCAACGCTGGAGGAAGCGCTGGAATTAAACCCCACCGATGGACCACGCCCACTCACAATAGCTGAGTACCGGGCACGTCAGGAGAAGAAGCAACCCAGGAAACATAAACGCTCTGGACATAGAGCGAAATTACTACAACAACGCCGGCTGGTCAAGGAAATGACCAAGTTGGCCAAGGAGGAATCAGCCCGGCAACGCTACAAAGAGCGTTTGGAAATTATACAAAAAGAACTTCGCCAAAGTGCGAAGACACGCAAACGGGCTGCTTAAACGCAAATGCCCCAATTTGCCATAGATTTAAACTAAACCCAAGCCGATGCGGGAAACCGCTGCTTGAAAAAAACTAACAACAAAACTGTCAGGCTATATACTAACAAATGTGTTTGGAGATTTTTTTTAAATTCTAATGAAATGTAAACTTTGACTTGTGAGCCAAACACATTAAAACTATCAAATTTCCATGTCTCTGGCACTTGTATATATTTAATACAAGTTGCAAATATTTAAAGTAAATTCATTAAATTTCAATATTTACTATAAAAACTTTTCAAACTTTATTTCCAATAAATTGAGAGATTAAACAGATTTCATTTTTTCTTTATTGCAAATTATTAACATTTCCAAAATGGGTTCTACTGAATCAAAAGTAGATCACCCAACAGCCAATGTAGTTAATGAAGTAAGAATAGTTGATCACAAAGATGAACTACAAAATATATTCATCTTGTTATTGATTATGACTGTCATATCAGTTTTGAATTTGATCCTTAAGATCTATCAGGAACATAATAAACGACTCAAAAAAAGATATCAGAGCCGTGCAGATGGCCTAGACAAGATATAAACTGTACTTACGAAATAAAACAATATAGATATGACTTAGAAGACTATACAGAATATAGACAACAGTATAAAATACCATTTTTATCAAGGAAAAACACAATAGGTAGACATCCTTCTTGTCAAATACATTTATATGATTCCGAATTCCACTTTAGTAGACAAAATTGTTGCGAATATAAAAGAAACACCAAATGAGTGATTCACAGTGGGTACACATGGAATGGCCCAAAATAGCAGCGTCAATAAACCATAATAAAGCAGTATTTGACAAATCATATAAATGTGTAAACAAAGAAGTACCTATTAAAGTAGAGACTCTAGAAACACACATAAAGATAATAATAAAAGCATACAATAACATATGTAGAACAGCCGCAGCTATAGAAGATAGATTAACAGAAACACATAAGAAAAATTGTCATAAAATACTAAGATCTCTCAATAAAAGATTGATCCATATTAGCATCAGACATAATCTAGATATTCAAATACCTGAAGATTTGCATTCATTGGTTAATATAAATGAAAACCAATTACAAAATCTTGAGGAGTCTAAAGGTAATATCGACATTGAAATCGAAAGCGATATTGAGTCATTACCAGAAGACATTGAAATAAAAAACAACGAAACCAAAATGCCAGACCAAATTGAGAAAGATAGAGAATATGTTCGACAATTGTCGACAACAATACCAGAATTCGATGGCAAAAAGTCATCATTGACACGCTTTATAACAGCGTTAAGAATAACAGATAGAACAAAGGGAACTCAGGAAGATCTAGCAGTAGAGATAATAAAATCAAAAATAATAGGACCAATTTTATACAAAGTAACAAATGAAACAACCATCAGAGGCATCATTGACATACTAAATAGTAATGTAAAAGGTGAATCAGCTGAAGTTGTAAAAGCAAAGTTACTAAATGTTAAACAGAAAGGGAAGACAGCTTCCCAATACACCACTGAAATTGACAATTTGCGTAAGCAATTAGAAGCAATATATATTGACTTAGGCCTTTCAGCCGAAACTGCGGATAATTTCGCAACTAAAGAGTCAATACAAGCAATGACTAAAAATTGTGAATACGAAAAGCTACGAATAATACTCGAAGCTGGTAATTACAATACATTCAGTGATGCAGCTGGAAAATACATACAATGCACCACTGAAATGACAGGCAGTCCCAGTAGCGTCCTATATTTCTACAATGGACAACACAACTACAGGGGAAATAACAACTACCGAGGCCGAGGCCGAGGTAACCGCGGTAGTTACAATACCAACTACAACAACAGAGGTAATTTCAGAGGAAATTACAGAGGAAACAACCGAGGAAGGAATAATTCCAACCGAGGTAATAGACAAAATCAAAATAACAACAACAATAATAATGTCCGAACAATCGAAGCTGCTAGTACATCACAAAATGCTACAGCTTCGGGAAACTAAATAAGACGGTTCACACAATCAATCTTAATTTCAATATTTTTATACATGTGCATAATAATAATACGAATACAAAATTAACATTTTTAATAGATACAGGAGCAGATATTTCACTTATCAAAAACAGCTCAGATAATTTCCAAGACATTGATCAAAACACAATAACAAACATTTTTGGAGTTGGAGAAGGTTCAACAACCTCTCTAGGTCTAGTAAACATAGAACTAGCAACAAATAATTACATAATTCCACATAATTTCCACATAGTTAATTCTAATTTCCCAATACCCACCGATGGAATCATCGGAATAGACTTTATAAAGAAATACAATTGCAAATTAGATTTTAATACAGAAGACGACTGGTTAATTTTGCGACCAGACAATATCACTTGTCCAATAAACGTACCAATAACACATACAATAGGCAATAACTCAACGTTATTACCAGCCCGATCCGAGGTAGTCCGACAAATTAAATTAAATACACCCGATGAACAGATCCTCATTCCTAATCAAGAAATAGACACAGGCATCTTTATTGCAAATACAATTACGACTAGTAAAAACACAGTAATTCGTATAATAAACACAACCAAAAGAAACCAAATAATAAATATTGATAAGATACAATTTGAAAGTCTTAACAAATATGAAATAGTAAAAACAATAGATAACGAAAGAAATGAACATATTTTACAAAAATTAAACAAAAATTTCCCACCATTGTTTAAAAAGCAACTAAATAAATTATGCACAAAATACACAGATATATTCGGACTTGAAACCGAATCTATAAGTACCAATAATTTTTACAAACAAAAATTAAGATTGAAAGATGATGAACCGATATACATCAAAAATTATAGAATACCAGAATCACAGAAAGAAGAAATACACAGACAAGTTAACAAATTAATTGATGATAAAATAGTAGAACCAGCCGTATCTGAATACAACAGCCCATTGCTACTAGTACCGAAGAAATCATTACCAGGTTCCGCAACAAAACGATGGCGACTGGTAATCGATTATAGACAAATTAATAAAAAGCTCTTATCAGACAAATTTCCACTTCCAAGAATAGACGATATTCTTGATCAATTAGGCCGAGCAAGATACTTCTCGTGCCTAGACTTAATGTCAGGATTCCATCAAATAGAACTAGATGAAAACTCAAGAAACGCAACGTCATTTTCAACGAGCAACGGCTCCTATCGCTTTACACGATTACCCTATGGTTTAAAAATTGCGCCCAATTCATTCCAAAGAATGATGACAATGGCATTTTCTGGATTAGAACCTTCACAGGCATTCCTGTATATGGATGACTTAATAGTCATCGGTTGTTCCGAAAATCATATGATCAAAAATTTGACTAACGTCTTTGACCTATGTAGGAAAAATAACCTAAAACTACACCCAGACAAATGTTCATTCTTCATGCATGAAGTGACTTTTCTAGGTCATAAGTGTACTGATCGTGGTATTTTGCCAGATGATAAGAAATACGAAGTCATTGACAAATACCCCGTCCCTACGGACGCTGACAGCGCAAGAAGATTCATTGCATTTTGCAATTATTATAGACGTTTCATCAAAAATTTTTCTGACTACTCTCGTCACATAACAAGGTTATGTAAAAAGAATGTAAAATTCGAGTGGACTTCAGAATGCCAAAATGCATTCACATATCTCAAACAATCATTAATACAACCCACGTTATTACAATACCCAGATTTCAGCAAAGAATTTTGCATAATAACAGATGCAAGTAAACAAGCTTGCGGGGCAGTATTAACACAAACATACGATGAGATACAACTACCAGTAGCATATGCCTCTCGCAGCTTCACTAAGGGAGAAAGTAACAAAAACACTACAGAGCAAGAATTAGCGGCAATACACTGGGCAATTAACTACTTCAGACCATACATATATGGCAAACATTTCGTTGTAAAAACAGATCATAGGCCTTTAACATACCTCTTCTCAATGAGAAATCCTACTTCCAAACTCACTAGAATGAGACTTGATTTAGAAGAGTATGAGTTTACAGTAGAATACCTTAAAGGAAAAGATAATCATGTAGCCGATGCGTTATCAAGAATAACCATCGATGAATTAAAAAATATGCAAAAACAAGTCTTGAAAGTCACTACAAGACAACAGAGTAGACAAAACAACTGCGCAGTAAATGAAAAAGAACAAGAAATTTTGCCAAGGCAAATACTTGAAAATGCTTCTAAGCCCAACGTATATGAAGTCATCAATAATGACGATGTACGAAAAATAGTGACCTTGCATATAACTGACACATTATGTTTCTTTAAACATGGTAAGAAAATTATAGCAAGAATTGAGATTAGCGACCTATATACTAATGGAACTCTCGACTTAGGTCAGTTCTTCCACAGGCTTGAAAAAGAAGCCGGTATACTTGGTATCAGCCAACTCAAAATGGCACCGAGCGGAAAGATCTTTGAATTAATTTCAACTGAAACTTTCAAAAATATGGGCAATAAATTTTTAAAACAAATAAGAGTAGCGCTACTCAAGCCGGTGACCACAATATCTAATGATATTGAAAAAGAAGCAATACTGTCTACATTTCACAATGATCCTATTCAAGGAGGTCATACTGGCATTTCAAGAACGCTAGCAAAAATCAAAAGACATTACTATTGGAAAGGGATGATAAATTTCATATCTCAGTACATACGTAAATGTCCAGAATGTCAGAAAGCAAAAACAACAAAGCACATAAAGACCCCTTTAACAACTACAGACACACCAATTAAAGCATTTGACAAAGTCATTATTGACACAGTTGGACCATTACCCAAATCAGACAATGGTCATGAATACATAATTACTTTAATATGTGATCTGACCAAATAACTTGTTGCTATCCCCATAGCAAACAAAAGTGCTAGTACAGTAGCCAAGGCTATATTCGAATCATTCATTCTCAAATACGGTCCGATGAAGACGTTCATCACCGATATGGGAACAGAATATAGAAACACAATCATGAACGAACTTTGTAAGTATTTGAAAATAAACAATCTTACATCAACAGCTCACCACCATCAAACACTTGGTACGGTAGAAAGAAGCCACAGAACACTAAATGAATATCTACGTTCATACATATCAGTCGATAAAACTGATTGGGACGTATGGCTTAACTATTTCGTATATTGTTTCAATACTACACCATCAATGGCACATAACTATTGTCCATATGAATTAGTATACAGTAAAACACCTAATTTACCTAAAGAATTAAGCATTAAAAATAACATAGACCCTATATACAACATAGATAATTACGCAATAGAATCTAGATACAGATTAGAAATGGCATACAAAAGAGCCAGAATGCATACGTCGAAGAGAGGAGGTTTTACGTGAGGAGCAGTAACTCCAAATCACCCCAACACGTGGTGAGAGTCGGAGTACCCCAGGGCAGCGTACTCGGTCCTGTGCTGTACAACATATTCACCTCAGATATGCCAGTATCTGAAGACAACAGAATATTGACATGCACCTACGCGGACGACACAGCGCTCCTGTGCTCTGACGCAACTCCTACTCTGGCAGCGCAAGGTCTGCAACACGAGCTGGACACGATTCAGTCATGGCTGAAAAGGTGGAACATCACTATAAACGCTGACAAATCCACCTACGTCACGTTTACACTCAGACCAGGCAACTGTCCACCCGTCCACATCAACGGCACCAACATACCGTCCAATGCGAAGGCCAAGTACCTGGGACTAACCTGGACAAGCGTCTCACATGGAAGGACCACTTAGGGGAAAAAGTAAATCTCATGAGGCACAAATGCCGCTCCATGACATGGCTCCTGGGCAGACGAAGCACACTACCCACTAGATACAAACTACTGCTCTACAAAGCCATCATTAAGCCGGCTTGGACATACGGCATTGAGCTGTGGGGCACTGCCTCCCCTACAAATATCAAAAAACTACAGAGAGCAGAATGCCGCATTCTAAGATTTATCCTCAACTGTCCTTACTACGTGAGGAAAACAACAATCAAAAGGGACCTCAAAATGCAAAGTGTCGCCGAGGAATCCAGGAAAGCTAGCAGGAGGCACCTGGAGAAGCTGGAGAACCACCAGAACCAACTTGCAGTCAACCTCCTTGACAGCAGCCTACAGCGCA